AGTACTTTTCCCTTGTTTTGTCTATCTGAAGGCCAAGCTACAAGCACACTGTGGCAGCTGCTGATTGGAGGTCTCCATGCCTCCGCTCTGTATAATACACTTGCATTCTATTGTTTCTGTGATCGTGTGCTTTGTTCGTGCTGTCTCTACCATTGACAATAAAACATGTCTTCTGTCTGAATGTAAGACGCGATCCCATCTTCTTCACAAGGCAAGTTTATTTATATAGCACAATTCATACACAAGGCAATTCAAAGTGCTGAACAAAACAAGAAAGCATTCAAATCATAAATAATCACAGAACATTAAAAAGAAAGATAAAAATATAAAATCCCTCAGTTGTATGCACAGTTAAACAGAACTGTCTTTAACCTGGTTTTAAACATTGTCAGAGAGGAGGCCTGTCTCACATCTTCAGGAAGACTGTTCCAGATTTTAGCAGCATTAATCTGAAAAGCAGCCTCCCCGTGTTTAGTTCTGACTCTGGGCACTAACAGGAGTCCAGTCCCTGTGCTCCTCAGAGTCCGGGCTGGTTCATATGGGACTAACATGTCACTAATATATTTTGGTGCGAGGCCATGGAGAGACTTGTACACAAGCAGAGCTGTTTTAAAGTCTATTCTCTGAGCCACAGGAAGCCAGTGCAGAGACCTGAGAACTGGACTAATGTGGTCGTACTTCCTGGTTCTAGTCAGGACTCGAGCTGCTGCATTTTGAATGTACTGCAGCTGTTTTACAGCCTGTTTGGACAGACCTGTGAGCAGGCCATTGCAGTAGTCTAACCTACCGGAGACAAATGCATGGATAAGAATCTCCAGGTCTGCTTTAGACACTATGTTTTTGATCCTGGCAATGTTTTTTAGATGGTAAAAAGCTGCTGATGTTACTGATTCGATGTGGCTATTAAAATTTAAGTCTGAGTCCAGTATTACCCCATGATTTCTGACCTTGTTTGAAGGTTTTAGGGAGAGAGACTGTACATGACAGATGACGCTCTCTCTTTGTTTCTGGGGACCAAAGACAATCATTTCAGTTTTGTCTGCGTTTAGCTGAAGGAAGTTGTTTTGCATCCACTCACTGATCTGTTGGATACAGTGAAGGAGTGAGTCCACTGGTCCATGTTCTCCTGCAGTCAGTGAGACATAGATCTGAGTGTCGTCTGCATAGTTGTGATAGGTCAGTTAATACGCAGAAACAAAGTGTCCTAACGGCAGCATGTAGAGATTGAACAGAAGAGGTCCCAGGATCGACCCCTGTGGTACTCCACAGGTCAGGGCCATATGATCTGAGACACAGTTTCCAATCTCCACAAAGTACTTCCTGTCCTCAAGGTAAGACCTAAACCAACTTAGGGCGGTGCCAGCGACTCCAACCCAGTCCTCTAATCTCTGTAAGAGGATCTCATGGTCGACGGTGTCAAAGGCAGCACTTAGATCTAACAACATTAAGATTGAGACTTTGCCTGCGTCAGTGTTCAGCCGGATATCGTTTGTAACCTTAACGAGAGCAGTCTCAGTGCTGTGGTGGGGTCTAAAGCCGGACTGAAACATATCAAATGAGTTGTTGATTATAAGAAATCTAGTAAGCTGTAGGTAGACAACTTTCTCAAGGACTTTCCCCATAAATGGCAGATTTGAGATGGGACGATAGTTGTTAAGTACCGTAGCATGGAGACTGCTCTTTTTTAGCAGGGGCCTGATGACTGCAGTTTTCAGGGCCTTTGGGAATATTCCAGAATGAAGGGACATGTTTACTACTGTATCTGTGTGAATGAAGGTAACAGACTGCTCAAAACAGACTTCAGAAATCTAGTGGGTAGTACATCCAAGCTGCATGTGGAGGAGCTCAAACTGGAGATTATCTCTTGGACAGTTTTATCATTTACAGGTGCAAAGTGAGTTAGCTCAGAGAGCCTTTCTGGCTGTTGGATGGTTATCTGTGGATTGGAGACAATGGCGTTTTTGATGCCTTGAACCTTGTCATTGAAAAAGTGTGCAAACTCATTGCATTTACGTTTGGAAGTAAGCTCTAATGGCATTTGAACAGGGGGGTTTGTTAATCTATTAACTGTTGAGAACAGAACACGCAGATTGTTGCTGCAGCCTTCAATCATTTCAGAAAAATACCTTTCTCTCGTACTACGTAGCACCCGGTTAAACTCGCACAACTTATCTTTGAAGATCTCGTAATCAACCTGGAGGTTGGACTTGCGCCACTTCCGCTCGGCCCTCCGGCACTTTCTCTTTTGTGCCCTGACCGAGTCTGCTTTAGCCCACGGCGCCTTCTGCTTATTTTTCACTATTTTAACCTTCACAGGGGCAACGGTATCCAGAACATTCAAAACACTAGAGGTGACAGAGTTAAACAGTTCATCTACGGTAGAATACGATGCATTCTCAAAGTTTATCATTCCCATAAATAGTTCACTCGTATTTTCATTTATGTGTCTTCTTCGAACAGTTGCAGAGTCCACTGGTGGTTTGTTAGTGAAACACATGTCAAAAAAAACACAAATGATCCGAAAGAGCAACATCGACCACGTTTACAATTGAAATATTCACCCCCTTTAGTAACTAACAGATCTAGAGTGTGCCCTCTGCTGTGGGTGGGGCCACTTACGTGCTGAGTGAGATCAAAGGATTCAAGTACAGAACTCAGCTCATTTGCATTTCTGTCATCAACATTAGCCACATGAATATTAAAATCACCTGTAATAACCAAACTATCAAAATCTGTGCATACAACTGAAAGCAACTCGGTAAAATTATCAATAAAACTGTGACATGACTGTGGTGGCTTGTATAGGACAATGAAGAGTATTGGGACCTCTTCTGTTCAATCTCTACATGCTGCCGTTAGGTCAGTTAATACGCAGAAACGAAGTTTCCTATCATAACTATGCAGACGACACTCAGATCTATGTCTCACTGACTGCAGGAGAACATGGACCAGTGGACTCACTCCTTCACTGTATGCAACAGATCAGTGAGTGGATGCAAAACAACTTCCTTCAGCTAAACACAGACAAAACTGAAATGATTGTCTTTGGTCCCCAGAAACAAAGAGAGAGCGTCATCTGTCACCTACAGTCTCTCTCCCTAAAACCTTCAAACAAGGTCAGAAATCTAGGGGTAATACTGGACTCAGACTTAAATTTTAATAGCCACATCAAATCAGTAACATCAGCAGCTTTTTACCATCTAAAAAATATTGCCAGGATCAAAAACCTAGTGTCTAAAGCAGACCTGGAGATTCTTATCCATGCATTTGTCTCCAGTAGGTTAGACTACTGCAATGGCCTGCTCACAGGTCTGTCCAAACAGGCTGTAAAACAGCTGCAGTACATTCAAAATGCAGCAGCTCGAGTCCTGACTAGAACCAGGAAGTACGACCACATTAGTCCAGTTCTCAGGTCTCTGCATTGGCTTCCTGTGGCTCAGAGAATAGACTTTAAAACAGCTCTGCTTGTGTACAAGTCTCTCCATGGCCTCGCACCAAAATATATTAGTGACATGTTAGTCCCATATGAACCAGCCCGGACTCTGAGGAGCACAGGGACTGGACTCCTGTTAGTGCCCAGAGTCAGAACTAAACATGGGGAGGCTGCTTTTCAGATTCATGCTGCTAAAATCTGGAACAGTCTTTCTGAAGATGTGAGACAGGCCTCCTCTCTGACAATGTTTAAAACCAGGTTAAAGACAGTTCTGTTTAACTGTGCATACAACTGAGGGATTTTATATTTTTATCTTTCTTTTTAATGTTCTGTGATTATTTATGATTTTAATGCTTTCTTGTTTTGTTCAGCACTTTGAATTGCCTTGGTATGAATTGTGCTATATAAATAAACTTGCCTTGCCTTGCCTTGCCTTGGAGGAGATTGTTTTTGTTGTATTTTAAAAGACACATATTCAAATGACGAAAACTTCCCAAGAGACATTTTATGGGAGACAAAGTGGTCTCTAAAAATGGCTGCTAAGCCTCCTCCTTTTTTGTTTTCCCGTATTTCAGATTCAAACTGGAAATTTGGTGGTGATGCTTCTATTAAAACTGCATTTCCTGAATTTTGGTCAAGCCAAGTTTCAGCCATGAACATAAGATCAAGATTATGAGAACAAATAAAATTATTGATTAAAAAAGAATTGTTACAAAGAGATCTGACATTAAGCGTAGCAAGTTTCAAAGTTTCAGTATCAGCGGTTGCGGTCGGCTGATTCTTACACGGAACAAGAATTAGATTTTCCAGATTAGACTGATTACCTCCAGATGTTTTTCTGTAATGTATTCTTTGTGTTATCACTAAGGGAATGGCACAGGTGGCTCCATGACAGGGCCCCAGCCGGGTCTCTCCTCTAACTAGACTGCCAGTGGCTGCGAAGCAGAGACCCTGTGCATCCTAGTGTTTAGAGAAAAGAGGGGAAGGGGAAGGCGGGGGAGGAGGATGGAGAAGTGGGTGGCTTTTGGGTGTTGAACGAGGGGGGCAGGGAGGTGGAGGGGTTTTTGGTGATGAGTTAGGGCCGGGGTGGGCTGAGGCAGAGGTTTTGGGTGTTGAATAAGGGGGAAGTGGGGGTGGAATGGTCATGAGGTTAGGGGAGGGACTGGCTGAGGTGGTTTTTGTAGGTGAATTGGAAACCCTAGGTGGTTTTGGAGGTACATATGGGGAGTGGTTTAGCATGTTGGACAGGACTCTAGATCGAGCTAATATGGGTGTGAGAGGAATAGTCTTCATCGCCGATTTTATTAGCCCTGCAGAGTGTTCAGGTCTAACAGTGAAGGCGGGGATGAAAAACAAAGGGAGGTGTCCCCATTCTCTCTTGATGGAGTGGACGTGGCAGGGGGGACCCAAGACAGGTCCATGGGAGGTGGCGAGGGAGTCTTTGATGGAGGGGCAGGTGGTTGAGGAAACCCCAGCACAGGCCTGTCTGCTGTAGGCTGGGGTGAGGATGGGGGCTTCAGAGGCGCTGTAGATGAAGAAGGCGTGGCTGCTTTGGAGCAGGCTGGGGATGAGGAAGTTGGTGGTGGTGGTCGTGCTGCTGGTGCTGCTACTGGTGATGATGCAGCTGCTGCTGGTGATGATGCAGCTGCTGCTGGTGCTGCTGCTGGTGCTGGTGGTGATGCAGCTGCTGCTGGTGATGATGCAGCTGCTGCTGGTGCTGGTGGTGATGCAGCTGCTGCTGATGATGATGCAGCTGCTGCTGATGCTGGTGGTGATGCAGCTGCTGCTGGTGATGGTGTTGAGACCGGCCACCGTGCCGCCCCGTGGCTGAGTGGATAGCACTCTCGCCTCTCAGCAAGAAGGTCCTGGGTTCGAATCCCGGTCAGACCAGGGCCTTTCTGAGTGGAGTTTGCATGTTCTCCCCGTCTCTGCGTAGGTTTCCTCCGGGTACTCCGGTTTCCCCTACCACTAAAAATATGTACAATAGTTCTGGCATGCGCCTCCTGTACTGGCGACCCCACTCCCATCTCTGTGTGGAGTGAGAGACAAATGCCTAAAATAAAAACAATTGTAAACCGCTTTGAGACTCAGATCTGCAGTGAAAAGGCGGTATATAAATAAAGATTACTACTACTTACTTACTACTACTTGAGATCCTTCGAGGTGGTGGTGGTGTTGAGATCCTTCGAGGTGGTGGAGGTGCAGAGACTTTTAGAGTTGGCTTCCTCCCTTTCGATGGCTGCACGCGCTGCGCAGGCTGAGGTCTCAGGGCAAAAGAAAGGTTATCCATCAACACTGTTATTCCGTAAGTGTTCAGATGTGGCCCTTTCCCTTCAAAAAGCTCATGCCTATTCCAGAACAGATTAAAATTCTCAATGAAGGCAAGTCCTCTGCGTGAACATTCGTTGAGTAGGAAAGTATTTAGCTGATACAGACGACTGAATTTCATTTGCTTCCCGTCCACATTTGGTAGTGGGCCACTGATAACGATTGTTGCGTTCATTTTAGCAAGGTCGTCCAATAAGAGAGAGTAATCCCGTTTCAACTTTTCACTTGTCGTATTTCACGTACATACGACTTTGTAAACTGTTGGTTTTGCACTTTACTTTTGTTTTCAATAAATCTGTGATTGTATCAAGACTGTGTTTCATTCATTTATTATTATTGTAGCTGAGGTTTGGGTATCGATTGTTTGTCTGGTCTCGGAGTCTGCTGTAGTCCGGACCCGAGTCCGGCCTAGCCTAGCCTAGCCTAGCCGCTAACTCGCTACCCCTATGGCTGCCGCTGTCTCTCCCTCGGTCCTTTACTGCTCGAGTTGCCATATGACGAGTTTAAACCCCGGATCCTCCTCTGATGGCAGTGATAGATGTGTTAAGTGTAGTATTGTAGTAGCTTTGGAATCCAGGGTTAGTGAGTGAGCTAAGTCTCGAGCTAGCGCTAGCATTAGCTATAGCCTAGCAGTATCCTCGGACATGCAGCCCTCCTCCTCTGCTACACAGGCTGCTGTTGCTACAGGTATGTACAATTCAGATTGTACAGAGCAGTCTGCACCATTGACTTCACAGTGTCTGAGTCATTCTTTTAAGACATAAGCATTTTCAAAAACTACTCGTGCTGTGCTGAATTTTCTATTAAACACTTGCTCTGATATTATAATAAATCCATGCACCGCCGCACCAGTACTAGTTACGCGTCACACGTAAATGACGTGGTCTGACAACGCTGAGGACATACTAGGGGTACTATTTTTGATGGAAAAGCACGCGAACTGGGCCATGGCGCGCCGTGTAGAGTCAAAACGTACCGTACTCGGACTGTGGAAAAACGGCATTAGAGACTGTCGATGATTTTAAGTCCCAACTTAAGACATATTTGTTTAGACAGGCCTTCTCGCCTCACTGTTCATAGGCCTCTGTGAACTGTTTTTCTGTGTTTTGTTTTAATTTCTGGCTTAATGTGTTTTAATCTGTGAAGTGCCTTGTGATCCTGGTCTGTGAAATGCGCTATATAAATAAACTTTACTTACTTACTTAGTTACTTGAAACATGCAATAGTAGTATTTGTCTTAAATCTTAAGCCATAAAGATAGCAGGGTCACACCTCTTAGAACCAATCAAGTATTTTAACGAACAACCCTTTTATTTCAGATTCTCTGCTTCTATTAATTATTCAGATTGATCCATTGGTCTTTCGCTCCTGTGGTGATGAATAGATCATGGGCTTTATGAAAATGGATAAATCTATAGAGGCGTTTCAAGGGATCAACAACTCAAATCTCAATCCACCCAGAAGGACTAACTGACAGATCAACCAATCAAATCCAACATAGCAATCTATGTTCAAAATGTCACGCATTATAGCATTTATTTGTCACTTATACAAAGAGTATAATAAGATAGTTGGGCATGGGAGTCTTTCACCGCCACAGGCCAATAAAGTTGTACTTCCCTCCGCTGTATGTTATTCCACAAGTGCTAACATTTCTTTGCTATACTTTTGAAACCAGCGAAAAGTTCCGTGACACGGTTCTCACAAAGTTTCTGGCGTTCGATGCCGTACAGAGCGCTGCGGGCTGACGGAGCTGCAGCTGTCAGGTTTGGAGGAGCAGACTTCAGACTCGTCATTCCTTCACACCCGTCTCCCCGGTCACCTGCTCCTCTTCCTCTTCAATAGTGTCTAGAGGAAGGCTTGGAGCAGTGTAAGCAAACCTGTAAGTCTGCGCCACCACAAAACGGCATGAAATATATATATGTGTTTATGTAGTGCGCTCTGGGGGAGGCTCAAACCATCTTGTAAGAGCACTAAAACAGCGTCCACTTTGTACAACAGAGACATTTGTGTTCACATGGCTCAGGACGGCGGGTTTCTGCAGCACCTTTTATGTGGATTTATGCGAGGAGGAAGAGGCGTTGTGCCATATCAATCAGCTTTCTCCTTTTATTACCCAGCCAAGGGGTAATGTGATTGCCTCCGTGTGTGCAGTATGTGCCCATAATCACTGCTGCCTCTATACTCAGCTATAGGCAACTTCACACGGTCACTGCTTGGCTTTCCCACACTGTGTTCTGTTGGTGCCGCTGGAGTTGGTCCATGTTTTAAGTATAAACACAGAGCAAAGATATAGAAATATAGAACACATCATCACTGCTGCCTACAGTCACCTCACTTCATAATTCCTCATCACTCCGGGGGTGTCTTGTTCAACCAGTTTGTCCTTCCCCAAAAAGCATCAGGTCTTTATGTCTAAACCCCCCGGTACTGACCCATATCGACCTGGTGCCAAACAACCAGTGCCGATAGAAAAGTGCTTTTAGAGAGGGCTATTTCAGGATTTCATACTCTTTGTTGTTTTCTAATCAGCACTGACTCTACAAGGTCGTTACCTCCCGTAAGTTATAATTAGCATTTATACAAGCACTGCATTAGGCCATACAAGAGAAGAGCTTAAATACAAATGCTTACCGAATTAGACATGAGTAGAGATTCGTTTCACTATTAGCTCCAAACTGGATCTAAATCGACTTTGTCAGCTGTCACCTTCAGAGGAAATGCGTCAGATTAAGCTAAAAACTAAGTCTCCTATAATAAATAGTACAGTGAACTATTTTTTTCACAAAGGATTGTAAGCTACCGATCCATCAGATGTGTCAATCCAGCATCACTTTGCTGCGGTGGTCTAGTTTGATTGTTTATTAAATAGTTTATGTGCCTCAGTAATGAAGAGGTGTTTTTGTGGATGGAGATCAGCTCTAGGCTCAGAAGAAGTGTGTGGGAGAGAAATGCATGGACTGAGAAAAATTACTAAGTGCATAATCATGACCAGCTCACACTTGGGTAAAACTGCCAAACAAATGCTTGGAGATGTTTGGACACACAGAGAGAGGTTAGGTTCGGGTTGGAAAGTCACTGTGGACTGTGGACACAAACTATTTATAAAACGACCAAAATGGTAACAAGAACTTTAGTTGCAAATCACTGTTATGATTAAATCAGCCGGGTAAGATGGTGCAGCCTCACCATCTCCCAATCATATCAACATGTTTTCTGGGGTTCTTTGAGCGGAGGGGTAAATAAAATTAAATCATTAAAACATTAAAAATATTAATATTATTATATTTTAAAGTTTAGTAATAATGGCCTGCACTGTAACTGTACTGAAGACTGTATGTATACTGCTACTGATTCTAAAGTATTTGTATTCATTTTGTTTATTATTTCGTTTCAATGGAGCAGAGGATTTTAATGAACAGACATAAAACATGCCAAATAGTCATTTCAATCTGGTTTGATTCATTCATCATTTCTTTCATTCATTCATTCATTCAATGTTCAGGAGTCCACACTGTTCAAGTCCTAATCCTTCTATTTAATTAGATTTCACACCTTTTACATTTAACACTTGTCTATATTTAACTTAACAATGTTACAGATTATTGACCTTATCGATAAATAATGTTGTCCTACTTCTCTTGTTATATAAGCAGATCCTGATAATATCTATAATCTATTAAGTATTCAGAGTGCTGCTTTTGTTTGAAATTCTATTCAGAAATTATATGAAATGAGAATCCCTGAAGAGATTCCAGATTCATTTATCGTGGACCCTGCGGGATCAAGGCGGTCATGTGTACAGTATGTATGTGGATGAGTGGGATGATCATTTGCAAGTTTACACGGCTCATATCAAAACCCTTGACTACGGTTGTCAATATTTGAGTTCCGCCGCTGAGAATGCATCCTTGGGCCGAATGTTTATTTGCCTTGGATTTTTGCGTGTGCGTCCATAATGCAGACAGGACAGTCTCTGATGAGTTCACATGGTTCACGTCAATACAGCAGCGTTCCTGGAAACTTTAAATGACTTTATTGACTGTATTAAAGTAATCCTACTGTAAAATGCATGTCTTATGCTATCGACGCGCAAACATGGTAAAGGCCGAATCCCGGATGAATGCAGAAATCTTATGTGGAATGTAACTGTGATCCAAGATGGCGCCCGCAGACGTTGCCATGGTTTTTATTGTGTTCCATTTTTGTTTCATTTGTAAAAAAAAATGTAATCCTGTTTTGCGCAATCTACCTACTGTACTTTGTGACTTTGTGTTACTTACAATGGCAATACAAATTATCCTGATTCTGAATTGGTTGAACAAGGCTCATACTGTACTTTTAAAGTTTGAGCCTGGTTCATGACAGAACAGTGAGTGCTTCAGTTCTTTCTTGTATCTAAAACGGATTAAATACATCTACATACAACGTTTTTGTTTAGTCCCCCGAGATAGCTATGGTTGTGATTTAGGGCAATACAAGGATAAATTGAAATAATTGAAT